AAAAAATAAATAAATAAAAAGATAAAATAAAAATATTAAAAATAAAAATAAAAATAAATAAAAAATAAAAATAAATAAAAAGTGCGTTGAAAACATATTGAGAACCATTTTGCCTCTACCTTGAAAGGGTTAAAAAGCGTTTCATATATGACAGACTCTGCATTAAAGGGTTAAATGCTGCACTTTCGTAAAGATATCGACCAGTATAACCATTTTTGTTATATAAATTTTTTTGTGAAAGTTGATAGTTTACGAGTTATTAGGGTTTAAAGGTAGCTTTTCTTTTTCCAATCTGGCCACTCGGGTGCAGCATCCAATGTCCCAAGAATCGAGTCTTAAGATAAAATAAAGAGAAATCTTTCAGAAACAGTGCTAATGGTGTATTAAATATAGTGTTTTCTAGTGAAATGGGAGCCAAAATCAAAATTTAAAAAAGTGACATTTTGAACGGTATTTTGAGGGTTAAGTTATTTTTGTTGTAACTTCTCTATAGTTTTCCTATATTATATGATCATTTATTTTCACGATGAAATATTTTCATTCCATTATGTCTTTTCTAAGCGAAGATCTACGATTTTGAAAAAAAAAACTCGTGTTTTGCCTTAAGTCGACGCCTGTAGCCATTGTGTATCACAACTTTAAGTTATCGATGCAAATTTTTTAGACCCCCCCTTCGCCAAATCCTGGCTACGCCACTGCTTTTTGTTATAAAATGCATAACCGGTACGGTCTCTAAAAAAATACCTTTTTTGTATTTTTTATTATACTAATATTTTAGACTTTGAAACGAGGCACACGATTCGACTTGTTAAAAAACGAAACAAATTTCAACTTCTTAATTTGAAAATTTGCATTATATATTGCATTTTTTATGATTTGCATGCAGCTGTGCAGCCTTCACACAATTTTATATTCCTCGAACAATAAGCCAGTTTTAGTGCTATTCAAGACCTTTAATTTAAGCCAAGGTAGAAGCCTCTAGGCCCTTTGAGAGCTAAATTATTACGATTCTTAAGTTAAGCTTCAAAATTTCATTCGACATTTTACGCAACTTT